GATTCCAGCCTCGCTACCTGCAATGTGGCCTAAGTAAGCGCCCGACCCTCCTCTTGGCTTTTCGAAGTTCCAGGAGTCTTGGAAGCACACGCAGCTTTCCTTCTCCTCCCACCCTTCACGGCAGGTACTCACTGTGACCTCAGCACCCAACTCACTGTTATCTTCTCCACCTTTACTGCCGTCATCTTGCTCAGAGACCGTAACAGCCACATAGATGAGCCACCCAAAACCCTGGCCATGCCGTTCTTAATCTGCCCAGCTCCGGTGCCTTTCTCCTGCACCCGGCAGCAGCTGCCGACTGCCATAGTTAGTTACACTCGTCATCACTGACTCAGTGCCTCTGGATAACCCCTGCCAATGTCCCGTTCTCTGGCCATAGCCTCTCCCTGTCTTTCCGTCCCTCTGAGTCTAAAACTCCACAGTTCTTCCACCTTCCATCTGACTTATGTCTATTCGCAAGCCTCCCCCACTCCCAAGCAAACACCTCTTGCCAGTCTCGTCTTGTGCTAATGGTTTGACAAAACTCTAGCCCAAATTAAACCCAACGTGCCAAACCGATCCCCCACACCTGAGCAGCTGGAGAGAATGACACCATGAATTGGACTCACTTTAAATGTAAACCACAAGTCTCCAACGGGCCCTCGACGCTAACACTTTCCCTGTAAATTCACTTCCCCATTCTGGGGCAACTATTTCATAGCTCTCCACCTAGACCTCATCGCCTCTTCTTCTAGGGAAAAATGTACCTACCGCCAGGAGCGGCACCCGCCAGCTCCCACCAGGATGGAAGGCAGGCCACGCTCCACCACGGCCCGCCGGTGGCCACTGGGTCTTACCCTTCTGCCTTCTCAAGGATTTTTCACTCTCTCGTATTTTCCCCTCTTCTCTACAATGGCCAATTTCTCCCCCTGTAGTGGGTCACTATATTGATGAATAAACATGCCTAACATCATCTTTTCTATAAAATCTCCCTGGCACCACATCCCCCCACACCATCTCTGTGCCCCCTCACAGCAGAATTCTCTACACGTTGCCTGCACTACCTCACGTCTGTGCCACAGCCCGTTCCAATAGGGCTCCTGCCCCCAAATCTCCTCCAAAATTGTCTATCAGGGTCACCCCTGCAGCTTTTTCAAAGAAATTAGCCAGTTCTCCATCACTCCCTTTCTCTGCAGCATTTGACACACCTGACAGGCTTCCACGGAACCAGTCACTTGGGTGACCGCCTGCCACCTGGCCATTCACTCTCCTCTGACGGCCCCTCCTCTAGTGGAGAAAATGGGCGCCCCACCTTGCAGGGCCTCAGAACGACGGTGTCGGCTCCTTTGCTATCCATACCCTATTGCTCGATCTGGACTTCACATCCCAAGAAAACAAGGACCACGCTGTATGTCTTTTTTGTCCTTCACACCCCTTCCTGCAACAATTTGGCAGGACAGAGGAAGTGGTGGAAAAGAAGAAGAGAAGTGACATATTATCAAGGTTACAAGGCGTTGCAGTACCATGAAAATGTTGACAATCACCATTATAGTTTACAGCAGCTCGCCACTCCTCCAGTTTGGGCTCCTAAACACTCAGTTTTACTATCTGAACAGTGGACAGAAATATCATTTAAAATAATAATGTTTGCTCTATAACAGGAGTCAGAATGCAGAAATAACAGTCCCTAAAGTTTTCAGTCATAAATTTGATGGCAGGAGGCACGGACAACAAACTTGTCTCATTTTAACGTTTAAAACACAAGCTGGTAAACATAAGGTTCATTTATAGTCACGTCATGGGACAGATTTATCATCCATACAGCTATAACTACACATTACACCTCATGTCTTGGGGCAGCCAGTTCAGTCTGACTGCACACAGCAGAGGAAAGGTGACATTTATGAACTGTAATGGCTTATTACCAGCATGGTCCATACATACCCAACCTGGCATCTACCACTTGGCTGAACATAATCTTGTTAGGGCTGAAATGCAGCCCTAAGGGACTCATTTCTACATGCTACAGTGCATAGAGAGAGCGGGGACACAATTATGCTCACCATCATTTAAACAGATTTATAGAAGTGTGGGCATTTTACATGTACAATTAACCACCAGTTAGGGTCATTTTTAAAGAAAAAAATACATCAATTGTCAATGCATCTAAGGCAACATCCTATGAATGTACAACTAACAAATCATAACCATCCAATTTCAAAAAAACAGCTTTCATAGAAGACAGTTCTAAACCTTTATGGGCATAAGAATAATCAGGTGAACTGGTTAAAAATGCAGTCCTGGGCCCAACTCTCAGATTCTGACTGAGTGGACTTAGGGTGGCATCCATGAATTTGCATTTTTAATTACTGGCCCTGGCAATTCTGATGTAGTAGTGCATGCTTCACTGGAAATCCTGTTCTAGAAGTTCTCATTTGCTCAGAACAAGGAAAAAAGTGCAAAGTAAACAGACTACCTACCATACTAACAATTCATTTCCTAGGACTATTTATAACAATTGAGTTTTTAAACTGAATATTCCTCATAAGAGATCATTTCTGTGCTAATATATTCCTTGCTCTCATAAGGTTTTTGTGACCTTGACTTAATATAATCCTAAGTACTATCTCCCTGTGCTCAGTGAGAACTAAAAATAGTTGGACAAACGTAAATTCTAGTAAACAGTCTATAGACAATTGTCACAACTTCAAGAGGTGTCAAAAAAACTGATTTTCTCCTGGTGAAATCATGCAACCCATGATTTCACTGATAGCGTCCTCTATAAATAAGTATTTAGCACATATGTGTATGCAGGAAATCTCTCAAGAATGCAAAAATATTTAGATTAACTCAGATACATATATATAAATACCCCTAGTTATGGCATCATAAACTCAAGGCTATGCCATAATAGTTTTCTTCACATCTATATTCAAGTGCTCTGAATTTAAAAAATAGAATGTTTTAGCATTTTGCTGAGTGTAAATTTTTATTTTGGGAAAAAAAAATCAAGAACACAACAACAAAAAATTACAAAGCCAGAGAATTAGAAAGACCATTGTCACAGTTCTATTAAGTCTTGCAAAAGAAGAGAAACTATTTAAATTCCTAGAACACAATTTATCTCGAAAAACAGAACAGAATATTGTAAATAAGAAGTGCTTGTCTTTATCGGGTATCTCCTATGTGCCAACCGCAATGCTCTACAAGTACCCCTCATTTAGTCCTCCAAACCTGAGAGAGGCACTCAATTACCCCCGTCTCCAGGTGAGGCACCGTGGAATCCCCAGGGTCTTCCATATCCCCACATTTCACTTTCCATTCACTAAATTCAAAACTCAAATTCAGCATGTGCAGCTAAGCATACTAAAAATAAAGTGTCTGTAATGATCAGACTGACTCTAAATATTAAAAGCAAAGTGTCTAATGATAGAAAAATTATAGCACATTTCTAAACATACGATAAACAGAAAATTATCTGCTCTACACACCTTAAAATTCAAAAAGACATTCAGATATCAATTTAAACTTTTCTCAGTTTGATATAATTCTAGTTCCTAAATATTTGCTATATACATTAAAAGCATGAATGAAAAACAATTCTCCCATAATTAGGAATGAGTCACATTACTTAATTTATTTAACTCGATGTTAAGGGATAGCTAGTATATCCACAGAAGTATTACTGATCCCTGGTTCAAGACAAGGGAAGAGTCTGAGAGTCTCAGTTTCTACTTATGTCTGTGCTGGAACCACAGAAAGCAAATGTGTACATATCGAAAAATCTTTACAAATCTAATGCTGAAGTCACATGAGACAGATTACTAATAAAAACCTGGCTGCTTATTGTAAAACTGTAAATCATTCTAAGAATAAGCTGTAATTATTTGCCCTAAGACTCATTTAAGCTCTTTAAGTGTTATATGGTAAATCTGTACAACACATTCATTCTACAAATGCCATACACACCTATAACCTATAATTTCTCCGTAATGTCATCTGACAGTTCACCTTTCTTGCTCACAAAGCTGATTCAAGACATCCTGCACTATCCCATGAATACTGACCAACCATCAGTAAACATTTACATAACTATTAATTGGGTTTAAGGCCTATCACATGCAAGGCCGCAGACCAGCACGGCCTCCTACCGATCAGCACCGAAGGCTACGCACATGCGCGCAGCAGTGGCTTCCCTTCAGTACCCTGGACTACAAGAGACAGGTACCTAAAATCCAAGTGTAACAGCTACCTACCCACTCACCCGGTTATAGTACATCTTCCTGCCTAAAGATACTTAAAGCTTTAAAAAGTGATCTTTTCATTTATCAGTGAACTGACATTGGGATTCATATATAAAATGGAAACTCTCAGAAAGTCACATGAGAATACTATTCTGCTTTAGGAACGAGCACTAGGAAATCAATAGCAACTTATCTACACTAACGCTGGATTATGTTTGGTTGATCCATATTTCTCATGTTCCCAAGTAGTCAATCAAACAGATAATGACTGTATGTCCTTGACCAAGCCGAAACAAGGAAAAAGACACATCTAAACACTGCTGATTCAAAGAATTCAGAGTTCAAACACAGCAACAAAATAAGAAAAGATAATCACGTAAGTATCAAGCAGTGTTTTTGCTTAAGACATAAAAGACAGGATCCACCTTTGCCTTTGCATTACTGTAAATCAGTATAATTTATTTTGAAGCATAAGTTTGAAAGCATCCTGGAGACCTAATATGAACTTGAAGGGGAAGATGGAAAAACAGGAATAAATGTTGTCTATGGTTTAAAAATACTAAATGCATCAAAACACCCAGTGATGAATGACTATTTAATTTCTTCCTGATATAGGAATGATTCCTGATACCTACCTTTTGACAGAAAAGATTGAATTTTTTCTTCACAATTTATGTTTTCTTTAAAGACTAGTTCTGCACACAGTATTAAAAAGATATCTCAGCAAAAAGAAAGCCTATTATAGTGACTATATCACTGAGAAGATGAAACAGAACATGAAAAAATAAAATTTACTGTTTCTTTGTTACACAAAGAAAATTAAAAGTGGTCCAAAGACGTCTCAGTCCATCTCCTATGTCCTTTATGCTATAATAACATACACAAAAATGGCAAACTAGATTACGAGTCTAGCTCAGGGTCAAGTTTTTCCACTTTAATGACTATCTCTGGAGCTAACGCAGCAGTGCTGGCTGGTTGGTTCTCTCCCTCCGACTCGGACAACACTTCTTCCTTTATTTTTACAGGCTTGTCACTGGCCTCCTCCTCCTCATCTGAAGACTCATCGAGCTCCCACTCATCATCTATGTCCATTTCAAATACTCGCACATGACGCAGATTTGAGCTTAACTATAAAAAAAAAGGCCACGAAAAGCATTTAAAAATTAATGTCTTAACTAATATATCATATATAAGGAATTAGAACTCAGAAGCTTGAATCAAAAAATGGTTTTATAGGAAAGTTATAGTCCCATCAATTTGCAATAAAATCACTAAACTCAGCCTTCATTTTGTATAAAAGGATCTCCGCATACAACAGTAGCAATTTCCTGAGATTAAAATCTGGAATTATCATTAACTACTTAGTAAGCTTTGTCAGAACAAGAGAAAAAAATAGCTAAGGCCACTCCATGATCATAATCAATAAAACCTATGAATCACAATTAAGTTTTTGCACAAGAGGACCTTGTATATCACGTATTTGATGAAGGAGCCACAGAAGCAATGTCACTTCCTGCTATATTTCTTAGTTACTGAACAATCTGTAAATACTTACCACACAGGACACTTTTCGGAAACCATTCCCAGCAACATACTGTGCTTTCATACTTTCCAGTAATCTCCAGTGCTTCTCAAAATGCATGGTACGTGTGGGAATAGCACTGCATTGTTCATCTAGCCTAAAGAGAGGGGGGAAAAGCCAACCCAAGAATGAAGAGGGAATGTTCTCCATAGAGGAGGTATCAGGGTCAGCTATGGGTTTGATTTCTATCCACACTCCCATTTCCAATACAATTTTAGCAGCCACTGTATAAAAAAGCTGTGATGTGATATTCTACAAAAATACTGCAATTCCAAATAGAATATCATCTTAATAAGGTTTTTTACTCCCTTTCATGGAAAGTAAATAGATACATTTTCAAATTAGAGATCTGGTTACTTAAATCTCAGTCAACGAAAGCCATCTCTTGGAATTGGGGGTGCACTTCCAGATGGGTACTGAGGTCCTAATTCTGGAAGGAAAATAGTAAGGCAAACCTAAAATAATTCTACTACACACTAGGGTTAATGCTATCTTTGAAAATATAACTTTAAAAAGTCCCATTCTCCACTCTAAATAATTGCCCACCTTGTTCCAGCAAATACTTCTTGATTTACTAGTAAAGAGACAAAAGGGACAAAAGAGCTATTAAAGCCAGCATTTTTTTAAATTAAAAAAATAGAAGCATTTTGGCTCAGCTAACTTTATGGTTATCCCCAGTAACTAAATAACTATTATCTAGCATACCTAAAAAATTAGAATCTATAATGTACATTAAAAACATTTAACTGTAATATCAAAAAGACAGCTTTACTAATGAGTTAGTTACCTTGTAGAGTAAGTCCCAGTGAATTGATAATCTGCAGAATCTTCACTGTTATATACTAAAGACAGTGGCAACTGGACCAAGAGTCTGTCTCTTCCTTCACGTCCTACAGTGTCTTTAAGAACTACCGTTACAGTTTCATCATCATAAAACTGTGCATCTAAACAACTGTAGATGCTAGAATTGAAATAAATTTGTTTTATCAAAGATGATCATGACTATGGAGAAAATACTGTATAGATAACATTATACTGGCACCAAACAGTAAAAAATAACTTAAAAAACCGAGTGACATTCTATATAATAACATTTAAAATATACATTAGTTTGTAGTAAAATCACAGTTACCTGTTGTACTGATTATTCACAAATATAACTAGGCCTTAAAAATAGGGAATCATTAAAAAAAAATCTGTGAAGTTGGTTCACAGTTCTAGAAAACTCTTGACATCAATGGTTAGGCTTAAGCTTGTAGAAACACTCTTTCTCTCTCTCTCTCTCTCTCTCTCTCTATATATATATATATACACCTTGAGCAAACAGAGTTAACTAGACTGAAAGGTAAAAACAAAATTTTACACATAAAAAAAAAAGACAACTCCAAAGACTTTATCATAAAAAAAATTTATGTGAGGAAAAAAGAGTGAGAAAAAGATCAGCTTATGATTAGTGTCAGTTCTTTCCCCCGCAAAGCCTCAGGGATGACTTAGGTACTCTTTTGGATCCTAAGAAAATTCCAGATCAGTGAGAATGGTATCACCTTACTTTTTTTTTTGGTTGTAACAAGAAGATCAGCCCTGTAGGCCATCTGTTCCCCCTGGAACCACATTACTTTCTTAGCACACAGGGAGCTTGAAACTATTAATTATAGGGAATCATGTTTTGTAAACTCCCACAGGGCAGTAAGGTTCTATTCAATTATAAGTCAAATCATTCTCTTCGTAAAAAATACATAAAAAATCATGCCCCCTTTGTTGGAAGCAACAAAGCCCTTTTACCTATATCATCACTATAACTCGGTATGACCACATACCTATAATTCCACTTACTAAACATACACACATATCACATGTATCTACATTTCATCCAAACAAGAATTAAGACTTACCTTCTTCGGACTTTTTCAGTTGTGGCATATGTAAAGCTTCCAAATTTAATAGCAATTAGTCCATTACTTACAGATCTTGAAGAAAGAAGGGGGAAAAAAGAGACTTTGTGGAACAACCTGGATAGCCAATAATCTAAATGCTTGAAAGAACATGATTGCCACTGTTAGTACATTTACCTAAATACCAACTCCCAGACCAAAATACCATAACTCTTCTCTAGAATACTGATAACTAATTTAAACACCTAGATAAACCAATTTGGTTTAAAATCTTACAGTCACTAAAGTAACTAGATACCTAATTAAGGACATCTGGAATAGAATAACCAAATTATTTCTCTTTTGCTACATTGTGGTCTTAAAAATTTCCTTCAAATTCAGATTAAAAATCATTTTTAAAATACTAATGGCATTCTAAATATAATTTATCTTTCAGGACTTTTACTATGAATTCTCAAAACGAATCTGCTAGGCAAAGCCTCTTATTTAATGAAAGGCATACTTAACTCAAGGTAAAAACCCCTTCTATAAGGTACTCAACTAATATAGTTTTGAACTTCTAAAAGTTCATGAGATATAATATAGTCCTGAGCTTTCTGCTGTCATATTTTTCCTAACCCTAAAATAAAATCCTATATACAATGACTATATACCAATACAAATTAAATAATCTAGAATAAGAAGGAACCATACAGCTTCCTAAATCAGTGTTATCACCCTAATGGCATGAAAATCAAGACAGAACAGTTAAATGACAAACCTAAAGACACAAGGTAGCTTAACTAACACCTGAAATATTGGAAAGGAAGCTGTAGGTTTCACTATTAAAAATAATAAAATCTTATCTCTTCGATTCAAACTTCAGATTAATACTTACTGGGAAATATCAGTATGTCTCCTTAAGATGCACATTTTATAAAGTGAATCTTCTAAAATAGTAAAAAGAAGATAATGTAGATTTGAAGTTTTATTATTCCACCTAAGGAAAAAAAACTGTCAATGGTTTTTAACTATCAAAGTATGGAACAAAATTGTATTGTTCACACAAGACAGGGAAGAAACACTTACAGAAAAGGAAATTTGAATAATCTACGTGTAGAGTCTTCGCTAAAACAAAAGGGAAAAAAGGTGAGAAAAATTTAAATTGGCTACTGAATTATACCACCCAGTGGGTAAACAGAATTACCTTCTAGTATCTCTATATAACGGAATGCAGATCGCTTGATTCATCGATTTTCCAATTACATCCTAGATAAGATTTAAAAATATAATTAGAGCATTTACATGCACACAGTCTACAGAAAGTGACCATCACTGTTTAAGTGTAGTAAAAAATCATCTGTATCACCAAACCTTGCACACAAGAAACTTTAATGACAGTTATAGCAGTAAGGGAAGAGAGAAGAGAAAATTCTGCGCTGAAAAGGACCTTGGAGCTAAGCACATGGTAGACCAAAGGCCACTTCCCTCTACTTCCATATCAACCATTCATTTACACTCTTTGGTAGTAAACATGAGACACATCAATTCTGTAACTAAGACTGTTTCCAATGAATTTGTTTTGGGAGAAAATAAAATATTCAAGACACCAATGCATTCAATAATCTAATATTTAAAAATGTATACAGAAACTAAGATGGAATATTAGGTTGGACCATATGAAACTGCTATTTTTATTAGTCAAAAACAGGTTAGTATCAGCATTTTCATATAGGTCATTCTAATAACTACAATCATTTACATCAGTGAGCCACATATTGTATATATTGCTCCTACACAAAGACATGCATTTCTTTCACACTTACTGCTGGTTTTTGCAAACACTGATCAATGATTTTCTCCATCCGCCTTTTCACAAAATGCAATGATTTTCGAGGATAATAAGGAAACAGCAAAGGACTTTCTGGTTTCAAACAAAAGAGAAACAAAAACGAAAAAAGTTACAGCAAACCGATGAGGAGGAGAAAATAATCTGTTAGAGCTAGCCTGCAGTTTACCTCACAGTGGAATTGTCACTGGCCACTTCTTTATATAATACTTTCACACAACCTCATTAAAAATGACCATGGCCTCCTGCCTTTCATCATTCTCCACTGATGGCCCTCTAAAAACCTCTTAGTCCATACTTAGTACCACCAAAATCCAACTGTATCTTTCTGTTGGCTGTAAGAAGAAAGGAATGATTTGAGAACCATAAGCTATATAATGAAATAAAGTTCATTCTTCTCTATTCTTTGCCACAATGAAATGAAAACAGCATGGACTGTTTTGTAAGAGTCTCAAAAACAAGAAACTAGCCTCCATGTAAATAAGCTCTCTACTTTTTAAAAGGCTTCTTTACAAGAGAAAGTAATATATAATTTAGCATCTACTGACACCTACAACACTAGGTTCTTTTTATGTCTGTTATTTCTATTGCTTACAACAGCCACACAAAGTGTCACATTCACCAATTTACAGACTGAAAAGAAAAATGAAGCTTTGCAGGTTTAGGCAAATGCTCAGTGTGAAAATGACTAAGTACTTCGTTCTATGGATCAGACCCAAGTCTGGCTCTAAAGCCCATCTTCTTCCATTGTGCTTTGTAGACCTCCCTTACATAAAGCTATGCTGAATAAAATGAGTTTTAACCATGTTAACATTTTAAGCTCCCAACAGGTGACAGATGCCATGGTATCACAGAAAGACACCTGGTCTTTGTCCCCAGTCCCTAGGACAGAGCTCCTAAAACCCTTGGAATTTCTGAGTGATAAGGGTGATAGGAGCGTCTTTTGTTTTAATGAGGAGACACTTGGCTGACTCCTAGATAGCTTCTGGACAGGGGCTGGTCACCAGAAAGACCAAGCCTTGATTACAAGCTTGGAACTTTCAGCTCTACCCCCTCTACCCCCAACCTCCAGGGAGGGGAGAGGAGCTGGAGGTTGAGCCCAACAACCAATGGCCAATGATTTAATCAACCACGTCTATTGAATGGGGCCTCCATAAATATCCCAGAACAACAGGGTGTGGACGGCTTCCTAGCTGGTGAACACGCTGAGGTGCTGGGAGGGTGTGGGCGCTCTGCGCCTCTCCTTCCTTACCCTGCTGCCCGACGCATTGCTTCTATTTGGCTGCTTCTGAGTTGTATTTTTTTATAATAAACCTCAATTCGTTTGTGTCCCCCTGAGTTTTGTGAGCCATTCTAGCAAATTATCCAACCCGAAGTGGGGAGGGAACGCCTGACCTTGCAGCCAAGTCAGACAAAAAGAAGTGTGAGTGACCTGGGGACTTGACACTGGAGACTGAAGTCTGATGTGAGGGTGGTCTTTTATGACTGAACCCCTACCCCTGCGGAGTGGTCTGCACCGACTCCGGGTATTTCGCGTCAGAACTGAATTATAGGGTACCCCGTTGGTGTCAGAATTGGCTGGTGTGAGGAGGGGAAAAATATCTCTCATTTCAGTATCAGAAACACTGAGTAAAAACAGCTCAGATGCTAACATACTGACTGCTTATATGCTAAGTGCCAGGCACCATTCTAAGTGCTTCATCTAGATTAAATCAGTTATTCTTCACAACAGCTTTCTAAGGGAGTTGTTATTATTATCCTCATTTTACAGATGAGAAAACTGGGCCACAGAGAGGTTAGGCAACTTGCTCCCCGACAGCTACTAGCAAGTAGTAGAGCAAGATTCCAACCCAGGGAATCCAGCTTCCATAGCTCTGTCACCCACTAAAGAATACTGACTCTCTCGCGTGCCCTAAGAAAGTACATGGATCAAGTATTCAGCACTTGATTGTTGCAAAGTATCAGAGACAAAGTTTCACTGATGTTTCCTCAATAATTCTATAATGATAGCTGGCATTATTTCATACTAGGCTAAGAAACTGGGAAATTAACATACTGACTGCCACACGAGGCAAAAAAAAATTTTTCCTTGAGGCCACGGTGTTTTATTATGAAAACAGAATAAAAACTTCAAAAACAAAACAATCCTTTCTAATTTAATGAAAAATTTAATGAAAAATGAAATTTACTGACTTCTATTCATTTAATCACTGTTTTTAGAATTAATTTGTCAATATTAATTGTAACAATAAGAACATCAACAAGTAAAATCTTCATGAACCAACTGCAGGGTTTTGCCCAGGTTTTGCTTCATGAGGACCTTGGCTCAAAACCAGCATGAGTTAAATACAACTCACATGGCTTAATGTGGTAAGGGACTTGCCCAAACTCTCCACTAGCATTTTACCTTGAGCATTTAAAAAATGGACTTAATCTGAAGTACAAGTGTTTAAACATGAGTTCTGTGGCTGGCTAAGATCAGGTCTTTCTTATTCAGACATAGAAGATGGGGGGTGGAAGGAAGAGGGTAGGACCCAAAAAAGTTCCCAGAATCAGTATTAGCCAATATGGTGACAGGGTCCAGGTGCCACTGCTCCTGACACACTGTCATCACCCGCCCCCACCCCACCATCCTTCCTTATTCCTTTTCCCTCCTAATTAAATACATAAATGAGTGGAATCAACTATAACTTTATTCTCCCTCCATTAAATAGCTAACTTCCAGCAATGAATCTCTCTACTGATCTTAAGACTCTCGAGCAATACAATAGGTCCTGCTCTGAAAAAGAAGGTGGACTTCTATGGTTAAAACAAAAGAGCCATAAGCAAAGGTCTAGGCATCAAAGAATTCTCTCCCTCACGCATTGTCATTCATATAAGCAGTAACCAAATAGAAGTGGGTTGTGTATCCCTTGTACAAAATGCACAGGACCAGAAGTGTTTTGGAATTTTTTAGATTTTGGAATATTTGTACATACATAATGAGATATCTTAGGGATGGAATCCAAGTCTAAACAGAAAATTCATTTATATTTCATATACATCTTATACACACAGCTTGACGGTATTCTTAAACAATATTTTTAATAAGAATTAACGAAGTTCTTGACTGCATTTTGACTTGGGGAATGGTCATATGAGTCAGGTGTGGAATTTTCCACTTGTGGCAACATGTCGGCACTGAAAAAGTTTTGGATCTTGGAGCATTTCAGATTTCGAATTTACAGATTAGGATGCTCAACCAGTATTAAGTCTAGTTAAAACCTCAGGCTTTGACATTAACAGAGTCCTAGTTCCATTGCTTACCAGCTTGTGTAATCTTGGGCCTTCTCTAACCTTCTGTTTCCTCATTAGTAAATAAGGATAACAAGTACCCATCCCATAGGTTCTTGTGAGGATTAAAGGAGGCACAATGTATATGTGGCAGAATAAGCACTCCATAAAAGTTAATTAGCTATTACTTTAAGGATCTAAGAAATTTCTAATTTGTGGTCAGATTTCTTGAAAAAGCAAAGAAATACTTGCTTCAAAAATATTTTCATCTAAAATGGTGAAGTTTTGACATATTTAATGGTTGCCATTATGTGTTGCATCGCTAATAATGCTAGATAGTTTTATTATATTAATATTTTGAGGTCCTAGAAAATGAAAGGCATAACAAGTACACATACCAAAAAACTACAACCTCAAAAGAATACGGTTAAGGACCATTGTGCTTTCAGGAGTTAAACTGGAATTGACCAAATAAGATTTCTCTCACTAGTTAGCTCTATAGTTTTCCTTCAGCATTATATTTTTTATGCAGTACAAAACAGACAATATAAGAATACTTAAGAATAAGCAATCTTATTACTTCACAGTTAATTTCAGAATGTTTTCTATCATAGTAATGTTTTACAATATTGGTTATTTTGCTCTTTCTGTGATCAAATACAATGGACATAAAAAATAAGTCTAATGAACTTAGATAAGTACTGAGCAAGTGTTCAGCAAAACCATTAGCTGATCTACTCAAGACCTGGTCTCAAATAAATACAAATATGGCCAAAGTCTACTTGGTTCATGAAATACCTTTAAGGTGGCTGCTTTTTTGAAGAAAGTCATACCACTGGTTTCCCTCTTTATTAGGGGGTGACACAAGATCATCATCTTCATCTTTCAAGTACTAGAAATACAGAATTAAAAATTTAAATTTAGTAAACCAAAGAATTAGGCCCCCAAAACTGTTTATATTTAACATTTTTCTATTTAATAAGTTATTTCATTTTATTGCCAAGTCCTCTGATGGTGCATTACTATTATTCTAAGTGACCAAAATTTGCTAAATGCCAAGCATATCAACAAACTGAAAACTACTAAAAGATTACAATGTTGTAGATGCAGAAACCACAGAGTTTCGATTTTGTGTTTCATTTTCATGAACACATTTCAAGTTGTAAGTTAGTTTTACAAGTATCAACTATTAATATACTCTATGGAAACTATTCTCCAAGTGTGGTCTGCAGACCCCTGGGAGTCCCCGAGATGCTTTCAGGGATCCACAAGGTCAATACTAGTTTTACAATAACACCAAGATGTTACTTGTCCTTTCACTGTGTTGACATTTGCATTGATAGTGGAGAAAACTACTGGTGCCTTCCCCAAGAGTAAAGGTAGTGGTCCCAAATCATACTAGCAGTCATTGTATTCTTTTGGTTATTTTTTTTGCCACATATTCATAGTTCCATTTACTTTTAATGAAGCTATTAAATTATTAATTTTATTAAACTTCGACCCTTGAGTACAAATCCTTAATATTCTGGGTGACATAATTGGGAGGTATAGATAGGCATTTTTGCTGCACGCTAAAGTACGATGGTTATCTCGAGGAAAAAGCACTTATGAAATTGTTTCAGTTGTGAGTGAAGTTAGGCACTTTTTAAAAAATGGAATTACATTTTTACTTAAAAGAAGGACTGGCACTTGGTTATTTGGCAGGTATTTTCTTGAAAATAAAGTGACCCTGTCACTTTGAGCAAAACAACTGCCAGTATTTGTTGCTAATAACAACATTTAAAAGCAAAAATTAAAATTTTGGAAAACCTGCATCTGCGACTGTGTGCTTGACAGCATCACAGCACTTCAAGACTTTCTGATTAGACTGGTGGTGCTATTAGTGCAATCTGGCTCTTGGTTACTGTACGATGAAAGGTGGCAGCATTCAGAAGAGTTGCATCAATCAGGGAACCAGTATTTCCAAAATGATCAATGCATGAGGTTACAGAATCATGCATGGACAAAAGATCCATACAAAGTGCAAGGTAGATAACTGGATTTTAATGGAAAAGTATGAAAAGTTCACAGGTGCAATTTTAGATTCCACATTGAAAATAACCTGTAAGGTACTATATCACTTGTCAAGATTTTGTGTAGTACAAAAGAATATCTATAATCATCTGAAACAGCTAGTATAATACTTTTCCCTTTCCAACTATACACTTGTGAGAGACCAGATTTCCTTTATATACATTAACAAAAACCTATCAAAACAGACTGAATACAAAAGCAGTTATGAGAATCTACCTGTCTTCTATTAAGTTGGACATCAAAGAGATTTGCAAGAATATAAAACACTTCACTAAATTATACCATTATTTTGCACTAAAAATATTTATATTAACATATAATGGTAAGTGGATTTATTGTTAATTTTAAGTGAATTAAGAAATAAATAATGTTTTATTTTGTTTAATTTTTAGTACCTAATAATATCTATCAATGATAGATAATCCACAACAACAAAACCTCTTTTTGGGTCCTCAATAATTTAAGAATGTAAAATGGTTCTGAGATCAAAAGTTTAAAAACTGCTTCTTTTTAGATATTTTGCCAAAAGGGTAGGGCTGCTGTGTAATTTGGTATTGTATTACTTTCCATAAATTTTGGATAATAAAGGTTAAGACTGCTAAGGTTTTAAAATTAGCTGTTAAAAATCAAAAAAGAGTAGTGAAACTAAATTCGATCTAAAGCCCATACATACCTGACCAACTCTTTCAACATTAAAGTATTTTCCTTTTCGATTATAAAGGTCTGGAGCCTACAAAGAATAAACATAGTTTAATTCTTAAGTCAACTCAAAAAAGAAAAAAATCTTAAATTTAAACCATAAACTTTACTTTTTAAGAGAGCTGTTAAGTGGCAGTTACTCTTTGCGTTCATGTATTGTAATTACAAAACACACACACACAAAAGTTCAATTTACAGATTTTTTTTTCTTTAGAAGCAGCTTCTTCTGAAAATTTATAGACTTTATGCTTAATAAATAAGTGCTACCATTAATTAGTTCAATTACTTCAGTAGTTTAAAAACAAGTAATGGCTAAGGACTGCAATTAAATTGGGTTAAATTTAATTCTTTCTCATCAGTACCAGGTTTACTGCAACCATTTCCAAAAACCTGCATTATAGAAATACCAATTTCTTACCTCATTGAAATGTTCAGTAAGAAATTCAGCAACAAATGTGATATCTTTCTGAGTCATCTATCAACAACAAAAAGAAAACAAATCAAAATAAAAGGAAGCTTCCCAATAAAAGAAATACCATGTAATAATAAATGTGATCTTTTTACTATCTACTAAAAGTCATGGGAAAACAGGCACAGTTCCTTCAAGGAAATACAGATCAGGCAACTGTGAAATATGAACTCTTAGGGCTCTGAGAAGAATATAATTAAACATTTAAACTCATTTTCCAATTAGCCAATCTAATAGCTACATAATGCCTTATGGTCCATAGTTGGTTGTTTATTATTAGTATTTTTAGGACTTGTGCTAAGACTATGTGTGCAAGGTTCCATCCTTTGGGAAAGGGAACTGTAAGACTAGAAAAGTAGCCTCAACTTCAGTTAAAGGTTGTGCGTAAACAGCGCTGTTCGCTTCAGTGTTGGCCCCTGCTTCTTACAATGACCTTGCCTTCACCCTGCTCCAGTTCTTCCGCCCTCAAAAAATTACCCATTAAAGTTTCTCCCAACAGTTAACATATTTTATCTCCCAAAATAATGCTAACAGTGGTGTCAGAAAAAAAACTACTGTGAAACTTTCCTGGTTTCCAAATCCAGTCACCCATACTGCAAAAGATCTACTTAGCATTAAAGTTGTAGAAAGTGGAGGATCACTTACTTAGCCAGTACACACAGACTAATTAATTAATTTGAATGCTCTCTACTCTTTCAGGCTCAAAATGACCTAATCTTTCTGAACAATTTGGGCAGGAGTGAGGAGGAGTGAGCCACAGGAATCAAATGTGAATTTTGCCCTCTTCTATAAGATCTCCCTGGAAGAAGATTCCATTGCCACTTGTCACAATCCTCACAGTTAGAAAGAAATGTGCTTACCATACATCAACATAGGTACTAATATCTAAGTACTTGACTTCCAAAGAAAATGCATGTAAGATGTAAGGAAGTCAAAGTAAGGAATATAAGGATGCTACCTTATATAGATTATAAAACCTTATCCAAACATGAAAATTACAAATTTAGTTATAATAAAGGTACCTATGTGATGAAAAACTACAGAACTGCAAATTTCTTTAAAAAAAAAAAAAAAAAAAAAGGGCTTAAGGGATCTAGGGATCTATCTAATGTCTGCAACCTGATATCCTGTTAACTAGTGACTGAAAAAAAGTTCCAAGATAACCAGCAAAGCTGAGCTCAACCAGGACAATACCAACACATTATGAAAATGTACTACTGTATATTACCTTATTCAGCTCAGGAAGCACATGGTCTTCTGTCATTCTCAACATTGCTGGAAATATAAAGTTAAAAAACTATCTTTAAAGTAAAATTAAAAATATCATTTTAATTATAAATACATTTCAAAGACTAAATGTGTTTCACTGGACTAAATCTTCAATTTTAAACAGCTTTTCACCTAACAAAACTTATTTTTCTTCCAAAAACTAAAGGGTGAAGAATTTAAATTTGATTTATATTTTCAGGTTGAAAACTGTTAGTCTAACCATTCTAAACTATTATTTTTCTTTTCTCCCTCAATTCAATCCATTGCTACTCGGGACAAATAAATGTAACTGTTGTCATTCTTTCCTCCAAAGTTTTACAATACCAAAGAAGTGTTTATTTCCCTTGACCTTTTTTCTCTACATGAAGACATGTGCACTAAGATTTATATGCATATACACACACTTACATTTATGCATATTTATATACTTATCTTTGATCTAGTATCTGTGGTTGATTCTTTCTATCCTTTCATAGGATTGTCCTCATCGGTCGGTACTGGGTTTTTTGTATTACGTCTCCACCTCAGACAAAACTAAGTACATGTAATCCCAGCTCTCTGGGAGGCCGAGGCGGGCGGATTGTTTGAGCTCAGGAGTTCGAAACCAGCCTGAGCAAGAGCGAGATCCCGTCTCTACTAAAAATAGAAAGAAATTAATCGGACAACTAAAAATATATAGAAAAAATTAGCTGGGCATGGTGGCGCATGCCTGTAGTCCCAGCTACTTGGGAGGCTGAGGCAGGAGGATCGCTTGAGCCCAGGAGTTTGAGGTTGCTGTGAGCTGGGATGACGCCACGGCACTCTAGCCCAGGCAACACAGTGAGACTCTGTCTCAAAAAAAAAAACAAAAAAACTAAGTACATCACATGTGCTTCTGTATAGTGCTTGAATATGCATCTTAACTGTGTATATTCAGCAAGAAACAGGTCGGAAGTACTTTGGCAAATATAGATTATTTTAGAAACTGTTTTTAATTAATTCAAATTTCTAAATTATCTGAAAAAGGAGCTAAAATTTAGTTCCATTTATATCAATCCAAAAAGACACTTACTGAGCATACTTTAGGTGCTAGGGATACATCAGCATAAAAGAAGTCCCTGCTTTTATGGAGATTACATTTTACAAAAAAGAAAACCAAGGTTATAGAGCTACTGGTGGCAAAGCAAGGACGATATTAAGTGTCCAGTCTCTAGTTCTCTCATTCTGTATGCGTTTTACAATGTCCTGCACAAATGACAAAGATTCAGCAATAATTCATTTTTATTCTAATCCTGATTCTTATTACAGTTAGGACATACAATAAGAATAGAAACTTCAGCTGGGCATGGTGGTACGCGCCTATAGTCCCAGCTACTCGGGAGGCTGGGGCAAAAGGATTGGTTGAGCCCAGGTGTTTGAGGGTGCAGTGAGCTATGATGATGCCATTGCACTCCAGCCCAAGAGACAGCGCAAGACCCTGTCTCAAAAAAAAAAAAAAAAAGCATAGAAACTGCCTCAATTACCCTCCAATAATTACAAGTAAAACCAAACTACTTCTTCTGTTAAAGAATATGATTTCTAAGGTCTCATTCACTTTTAATATTGTAATTTATTCTAATTAACAACTTGGATCTTAAACAGGCTGGCTAATAAACACTCTGGTTCCTCACTATGGCTAGCACTGGTAGTTTTCAGAAAAATCTAAAAATTTTAAGTATTAACATCTGCAGATCACATTCAGTTTTTAAATAAAAGCAATTATTTTAGGCTGATAAATGTGAAGTCTACTTTTATAATACTACTAATAAAATTGAAGATTTGGACATTTGTTTAAAGGATGTTAGCACATTACAGGTAATTTACCTTCTATTTCCTCTTTAGGAATTTTAACAAATATGAGAAGTTCCATTTTAGACTAAATTTTGCACATGTTGGACAGCAGTTTATGCTGGATTATTTTAAGGATATGGAGAGGTTACAAAAATAGCAGTAAAAATGGACCTAAATAAAATATGCATATACTGCAGAGTGAATATGAAAACATTTACTATCAGGTCAATAAATATTTGTTAACTACCTACCCAAACAAACGCAAAGACACTGTGCAGATACAAAGAAACACCACAAGTGGTATGCATTCTTTTTAGCTGGGGCATTACTGCCCAACAGAAGTGGTAACGGAAATGTTCTATTTCTATGTTGCCACTAACCACGTGTGGCTAATGAGAACCTCAAATGTGATCAGTATGACTGAGGAACCAAATATATAATCTTATATAATTTAAATATATTTAAATAGGCACACGTGGCTAGTAGCTACTGTACTAGACAGCAGAGATCTAAAGACAGAACACCAAAGTATCAAACAAGACATCAGCTACCCAGGGACAAAGGTGGTCTTTTATTTTTTACTTTTTTAAATCTAGCACCTAACAGTGCCTAATATATCAGCAGGGGTTCAAAAATGTTATTTTAACGTAAGGAAATATCATAAGGTAAAAAAGGGTGAACTATCAATGAGCGATAGGGACAACAGGTGCTACAAATTAGCTTTAATATTTCTGTGGGGAATGTTTCTAGCCTGAAGACAAATGTTTAAGGTGATGGATATCCCAATTACACTGATTTGATCTTTACAAATTATATGAATGTATTAAATTATCACGTTCACCTCCCAAATACGTACATTATCAATAAAAAATAAATAAAATTTTTAAAAATATATTTCTGAGGGGAGGTGGGGCTGGGTGGGTACACAGATGAAACAAGACTGGCCATGTGTTGACAGCTGCTGAAGCTGCATGCAAGGTATAGGGCGTTCCTTACACTAGTTTCTCTACTTTTATCAGCACATGAAATTTTACTAGAGTAATTTTAACAGTCTAAAATGATATTCCCACAGTTTTTTAAAAGTGTTAAAATAAGAATGCTTCACTCTATTAACTTACCCACATAGAGCCACCGAAAAAATGCTTTGAAGTTTTTCATACTACTATCTATAACTCTAAAAAGATAAAAATAAATCAGAAATAAGATTATCATGTGGGGTTGATGTATCATCGTTTAACTGTCATGGAATAATTCCTACCATTCTACTTTATCCTATCTGGATGATATTTAAGTCTTCAGGACAGCAGATTTTACAAATGAAACACACACCTAAAAATAAAACTTGAAAAAAAGCAAATCCTGACTCTTCTCAAAAATAAAGCAAATAACTCAGATTCTAGCTGGTTACAACAGCTTTGCTACAAAGTGTGTAATACTCTTTTCTAGCCTTCAGTAAAGTATGAAATCCTTTTCTAACTTTGCAAATAAATCAGGAAAAAATAGTTATCAGCATTATTCTTGGCTTAAAAGAAAATACTCACTGGTCAGTAAGAAGAAAAAACATCAACTCCAACAGAAAATTGTTATTATAAATTTGTACTACGTCACAACCTCTAATAAGTGGACATTACTTTTGGAAGCTGATTTTTGGTTCTGACAATAACTGAGATCGCAAAAATTCAATTTCCCTGGGCTTTACACAAATGTACCCAAAAAATTAAATGTTATAAATGGAAGTCATCTTCATTTTGATAAAACTGTTTCTGAATACAGAGATGGGTGCCATTTTTTAAAAATCTTTTTACACTCACATCTATAAGATAATTACTGTAAGCAAATAATACCTGCTGTTCATTCCTAAATCCTAAAGCCCTCCCCAAGTATTAAGTTTCATAATACTGTTGGAGAGGTAAGTCAGTATCATTAACCTTTCTGTACGAAGTAAAACACTTGGGATAAAAGATGGCAACATCCCTTAGTCAAGCAATATAATCGAAACTCTCCTGCAGCAATAATTTTAAAAAAAAGTTCCTTTGTGTCCTTCCCCAATCAATAACCTCACTCTACCCCAGGCAACCAGGCTAACATCAAAATTCTCATTGCCTCAGTTTCTTCATCTGTAACCTACAATAATTCTACTTACCTGAAAAGAACAAGAAGTTAAACTACCTTTCATACTGAAAGGTGATCACAGAAAGCTTAATATTTTATATTTGCTCTCAGCAAATATGTTGAAACAAAAAACACTTCAAAATCCAGGAAAAGCAATGTCATTTCTCCTTTTGTCTTCTGAACACGAGTGTCTGTAACTTCTAAAACTTTACTTTCTAAAACTATTAAAATGGCAGTGGATGGGGAGGGGTACGTGTTAGAAACTCACAAAAATGAAGAGAATAGAAAAGAAATTAAATTTCAGAAATGTCAAAAGCCGATGGGGGACTGATGACTAAGGAAGCTGAACAGTGCAGGCCGCGAGCCAGGCAGGAGGAAACCACCCGCCACCCTGGAGAACCCAGGGATACTGAGACACTAGCAACACCAGGTTCAACAGTAGATACCAGGGCGATGTGCAGGGCTAGACATAGGCGACAAAATGAAAATCTAATACAGTGTGGTCATTACATTCTTTCCCCAAAACACGAAGAATGCCTAGGAGTTTACCTTCTAGCCAACAACAAAGAAACAGACGGTTCTTCAGAGAAACTGACAAACTGGGAAGAGCTATGGCACTTCTACGTGGGCAGCAGCAGCCCGAAGCACAGCCCGCACACTCTGGCACTCAGGTTCTGGCTCCCTGCCATCCCTGCACGTGGAGATTCCGAGCAACTTTAAATGCCTCATGAATAAATATGAGTGACAACCAAGCATCAGGTATTAGAAGAAAGCTTGCAACAAGAGACCAAAATAAACAGAAAAGTGACCCATCAAGTGAGGATAATTCAGGGAACAACAGAGACCTTTTAAAAATCTAATATCCACAGAGAGATTTGAGAAGATGCCAGCCACATCCACAGAACGAGAGGATTAAAGAAACAAGTAAACACTTTAGGAAATTAAAAGACAGGATGGCCATAATAAGAAATTTAACAGAATGGTTCAGTTCAATGATCTTGTCCTGCAACCTTATCTTAGCTACTTATTCCAAAGATCACACCCTAGACTTTCATTATCCACTGCAACCCTTCAAAATCTCCATCTCAAGCATCCCACTGACCAACAAGCCTCTATCTATCCAGTGTCCCCTCTCCGGGGTCCCAAACTTCATCCCACTAGGATGCACTGACTACTAGTTCTATCACCTTTCACCATCTCTCACCCCTGCATGTCCTCACTTCCCTCCTAAACTAGTTTAGATTTGAGGGTCATCATTTTAATCCGCTCCTTGCTTCAATTCCCTTGCCACTCTTGCTGCGCTTTTACTCACCAAGCCTGGTACAACTGTTCACCTGCTCTGTGTCCCACTCTCACAGTGGGCCCTGCAGCCATGCCACTGGCCTCACGTTCCCGCTCTCATGAATGCTCAGGAGTCCTCCTCTGTCCCATTAGTGGACACACCCGCCTGCTCCTACTGGATGTTCGGGACAACTGCTTCACAGCTTTCCCTGTACTCTTAAACCTCCAATACCACCTCCCCGTCCTTACCCCGAGCTGATGACAAAGGATTTGCTGAGATTAACAAAAGCACCTAGAAGGGAACATCCCCATGCTCCCCCGTCATACATCAGCCTGTCACCCTTTCCTGGGCCTTCCCTCCTGTAACTGGGGATGAACTTCTGCCCCTGCTCTTCCAACCCCTCCCTACTGCACTACCGTGTATACTCTAGTACACATACTACAGTATACTCTTGCTCTAGAGCAACCCTCCCCTCTCTCATCATCAGTTTTTTCCCTTGTAGAAGATCTCTTATATGCTCTAGTTTCTCCCAACATAAAAATAAAAAACAAAACCCAACAATTCTAACTACTGGCCATTCCCCTTGCAGCAAAACTCCGCAAGAGGCTGTTCCTGCTGGCTTCTCTGCATCTGTCCTTATTCTGTATTGTACCAGCTCCCACCACTCCACGGAAGTGGCCCTTGTCAGCGTCCCTGTTCTAGTAGTATTCTAAGACTCTGTTCTATTCTTGGTGTTTCCTTTACTTGACTCAGCAGCATCTGACAACTGATCCCTCCTTCCTCTTTGCAATGCTGCCTTCACCCAGCCTGCAGGACACCCACTCCCCTGGCTGTTCTCTCCCACTTCCTGTGCTGGCTCCTCATTGCCGCCATCCATAAACGAGGTTGCTTCTCTTCTCTAAGCACACCCCTTACCTCATCCAATCTCATGGCTTTAAGAACACCAATGAGCTGATGGCTCCCAAATTTACATTTCTGGCCTGGACCTCTCCCTTGAGGTTATAGTCTCATATAACCAACAATGTGCTGGGCAGTTCCACCTATGGATCTAACAGACATTTCAAATTCAATGTGCCTAACACATGGACCAAGTGACCAAAATTAACATCACTAAGAAGTGGGTAGACAAACATTGTGAGCCAATGGATGTGATGCCTTGAGGAGGACACACCAATTATGCAGTATTTCTGGCCAGGGATATAACCTAAATCATGAAAAAACATCTAATAAACTCAAAATGAGGAAGATAAAGTACATATATATACATACACACATATATACACATTATATATGACCTGCTTTCCTTTAAAACGTCTATTATCATAAAAGACCAAGAAAGGTTGAGAAACTGCTCAAGATTACAAAGACACAGCAACTAAAACAAATACGTGATCCTGAACTATGTCTTATCATACTGCACATTTTTGGGATAATTGCAAAATTTGAATTGAACTTTAGAATAAGTACTGCATCAATGTGAAAATTCCTACATTTGCTAACCGTACTATGGTTATGTAAGGAAATAACCTTATTCTTAGAAAATATGCATTAAAGTATTACAGGGTAAAGGCACGTGATATATACAACATACTCTCAAATGTTTCCGGAAAAAGAAAGAATATGATAAAATAAATATAGCAAAATATTTTAAAATGGTCAATCAGGGGAAAAGTGTTAACAGAGTCATCTTTATTATTCCTACAATTTTTCCATGTGAAATTATTTCAAAATAAAGTTTAAAGAAAAATCTATTAATAGCATATCCAAACCAAACTCTCAATCACACTCTACTCCCCTCCCAAAACCTGCCCCCCTCAACCCTTCCCTAGTTCAATAAATTATCAATTCTAGTCTTCCCAGTACTAAGGCCCTAAACTAATTATCTGTGACTCCTTCATTTATTTCACCATCTACACTCAATCGTTCAGAAAATCTGATTATACTTTCAAAATATAATGAGATTTGAACCATCATTTCTCTCTGGGCTTCTGTCCTTGCCTGCCTATAATCTATTCTCAACACTAACTAGAAAGAAAGATCTTCTTAAAACCTAAATGATACCCTCTCCCTCCACTACTCCTAAATCCCCAAGGGCCTCTCACCCAAAGTAAATGGCAAAGTCCTAGCAACTGTCTACAGGCTCTATGCAACCTGGCCATCCTCCATCACCTGTCACTTCATCCCTACACCTCTCTTTCATTCACTCCACTGCAGCTACAGTGCCCCTTGAGGTCCCTCAAACAGGCCAGGCATGCCCCAAACTCAGGGCCTTCACACTTACCGCCCTTCTGCCCCCAAACATCACAGAGCTCACTCCCTTCCTGTCTCCTGTCTCCTTCCAACCCCACCTTCTCAGTGAGGCCTCCCTGACCTATATAAAACTGTGTTCCCTATGCTAGCATGCCCTAGGTCTTCCTTTCCTGCATGGTTTTTCTCAGCAATACTTGTCACTATCTGACTTACTATACATTAATATTTTAATTATCCATTTGTTTACTGTTTGTCTCATGTACATTAGAATATAAGACCCAGGAAGGGGCCGGGCGCGGTGGCTCACGCCTGTAATCCTAGCTCTCTGGGAGGCCAAGGCGGACGGATCGTTTGAGCTCAGGAGTTCAAAACCAGCCTGAGCAAGAGCGAGACCCCGTCTCTACTGAAAAATTAGAAAGAAATTAATTGGACAACTAAAAATATGTAGAAAAAAAAATTAGCCGGGCATGGTGGCGCATGCCTGTGGTCCCAGCTACTCGGGAGGCTGAGGCAGAAGGATTGCTTGAGCCCAGGAGTCTGAGGTTGCTGTGAGCTAGGGTGACACCACGGCACTCTAGCCTGGGCAACACAGTGAGACTCTGTCTCAAAAAAAAAAAAAAAAGACCCAGGAAGGCAGAGATTTGTATCAGTTCTATCCACTCTTATATCCTCAGCATCTGGAACTTGTTTAAAACATAGTTAAGTGCTCAGTAAATGTCTACTGATGAGTGACAGTATTAGACAATAAAGTAAAAAAATTTCTCAGAAAACAAAAAAAAAAAGATATGAAAAATATGAGAGAAAAATAAGAGACATTTTTGATCTACTCATGGATCAATCCATGAATTCTAATATCAGATCAAAAAGATTTCTAGAACAAAAATCTAGTTTAAAGGGGAGACAGAGAGAGAAGAAATTATCAAAATAATAACACAAGAGAATTCAGGTTAAAATGGCTCTTTCTTATTCAGTACAATGAATGAAAAGACCCATATCTAAAAATGCTGTTATGAAATTTCGACATATCAAGGATAAAGACTAAAGCTTTTAAAGATAAGGAGGGAAAAAAAAACCCTACAAAGGAATGAATCAGAAGCACTAGGCCTTCTATCAGTAACAAAAAGTCCAGAATACAATGGAACAATGCTTTTAAAGTTCTATATAAGAAAATGATTTCCCCCTCAGAATCCTAAATCCAGCCAAAACCATCAATTAAGTGTAAGGACAGGAGAAAAGACACAAAAGGACACAAAAGATTTACCTTCCACATCTGCTAAGTTACGGGAGGATGTTTTCCAGCAAAATGATTAAACATGCCAAGAAACAGAGGCGATCCTGGAAGTCCTGGACCTAGTGCAGAAAGCGATGGAGAAGGTGCCGGTGTGGGGGCCGTGCAGGGGAGCCACAGCACAGCCGCAGATGAAGGCAGAGGGAGGGAAGGCTAAAGGAGGCACCTGGGACGTGGGCAACTCCAGAGAAAAGACACTTCAGACAGGAAAGGACAGAAGGGTGTGGAAAAGATAGAATGCAAGAAAACAAGAAAGCCAAATAGTACCGGAAAAACAAAACAAACAGAATAATTTCTAAAAACTGATAAACAAAAAAATGCAGTAGAGTCACAGGATTTAGAAATATGGAGGTAACCCACAGAAGAACTAAAAACAGAAATATTTACAAGAGTTAAAATGATTCCTCTGGACAGAGGACGTGGGGTAAGGATGGGTGGGGCAGGAAAATATTAAATCTTCAGCTTTACTTTATAAAATCTCTGTGCTACTGGCTTGTTTTAATCATGTAAAGGCATGATTTTTATAAAATTTTCAAACTTGCTTTAAGAGAATTATGACAACTTGCTAAGTTCTTATTTAAGTAAAAAGTGAGATATTCTCAGGTCAGTGATTCCAGGTACCCCCAATACTTACTGAAGAAGTTCATTTGCCTTGAGGATAAAAGAACCCACAGCAGTAATAGCATCTAAAGGAAAAAAATAAATGTCACTTATCAAACAAGTAAACTGTGCTTAATGTATTCTACTGAGAAATTAAACCACTACCTTCAATTCCCGCAGCATCCAGTCCAAGAGGTTCATATTTTTGCTTCCATGAAGCCATTCCTTTCAATTCACTCAAATGGTATAATAAAGACTCCGAGCCACTATCAAAACAGAGCAGAAATAAATTAGTATCATTACTATCATCAAGGTACTACCTTGCCTGAACATTCTAAATTTTCAGAAATAAAAACTGAAAGCAACTTTAATTTTCTTTCTACGAGAAATAATTATTTCTCAAAATGATTTCTAAAATCTGAAGCAGAACCATTTGGTCATCATGACTACTGAAATAAATACATGACAATATTAAATTTTGTAAGATGATCAAATGTTCCATAGTTAGTCCTGGCACTTTTAAGATAGTCACATGGCCATCGTGCTCACAAAAGAACTACGTAGTCGACATTCAACAAATACTTACTAAACTCCGACTTAGGCACTGTGCTAGATACCCAGGACACAATGGTGAACAAAACCACAGGGTCCTCACAGCATTAACAGTATAATGGGGGAAAGAGAACCACACGATCGATCAGTATATTGTTCTAACTACCATAACTGCCTTGAAAGAAATGCACAAGGTGCATGTGTAACAGAAGAACCCGATTTAATCTGGGGAATTAGGGAAGGCTTCTCTGAAGAAGTGAATTTGAGCTGAGAGTTGAAGAATGCATGTGAAGAGCAAGGGAGGAGTCTTACAGAAAGCAAGAGGAATGTGCAAAAGCTCTAGGTGGAGACAAAATGTCAAGTTTGAGAAACTAAAGGGCCGCCAGTGTGGCTAAGGCAGAGAGGCGGGTACACTAAAGGCCATGCAAAGGTCTCTGTTCCAAGAACAACAGGAAGGTATTGTAAGTTTTTAAGTAAGAGAGTTAACACAATTAGATCCACTGGGGAAAATACATTTGAGGGATAGTGTGGACTGGAAGAGAACCACCAGTCCAGGGGGTGCTGCAGTGGTCTAAGGGAGAGATGATGGTAGGAAAGGCCAGGGACTCAGCATAAAGGGATATATAAAATTTAAACCAAACACTCAGCATCCACTTGCAAACTGCTTTGCTGAGGTAGCTGTGGATAGAAACAGCATGAGACTTGAAGATCTAGTCTTGGCTCTGATACTTAGTGACTCTGGGCGAGCCACAAACTCTGAACAAGTTTCCTCTTGTGTAAAATGAGGATAATCATAATCCCCACCTTGCCAAGGTGTCAAATGAAAAAACACACAGTATGCTTTATAAACTGTAAAATGTTCATTTAAATGCTCGAAAAAGGGGTATATGACCTATTTCAAAATATACCTCATGGTTAAATGAAAACGCTCAGACAGGGCCCAGCCTCGTATAAAGACATTGGAAAATTATTTCATAATGCAGAATTATTGCTATTGACTCTTTAAATCTTGGGTACACCAAGATTCTCTCAAATATCTATGCCACAATTTTAGCTAGAGAGAGTGCCAGATGATGAAAAGAAGGATGCAGAAGGAAGACCAATGCCATGTACATGTGGATGTGACACCAAAAAATTCTACATCACCTTCATACCTCTGTAAGTGACTTATAACCAATTTTTGTATACTGGAATATGATGACTCTATAGACTGGCCAAGCTTTTTTAAGCCCTAATTAAGAGAAGAAAATATATTTAGCATACAAACAGGACACTATATGCCACTCTAAAAAAAGTTAAGAATGTGTTCATAGCCATTTAAATGTATATTTTAAATGCACCTTTACTGTTAACTGGTTCATCAAGAGAGTCTGAAGTTCAGCACTACAATGAAAAAGAAAATATTTTTAGTCATTTTCTCTATTCAAAAATCTATATGCATTACTTAAAACTTCTAAATATCAAAGCACAGATCTTGAAACAAAATAATATAGCCCAACAAAAATTAAGACTTTTTCTACATACAAAGAGACAGAAAACAATAAAGTCTAAAAACAGACTTAAGTGTATATTCAGCTAAAGTAGCATTTCACATCCATGAGGAAAAGGTATAATACCCAATAACCATACTGGGCAATTACCTAAATGTTTAAGGAAAAAAGACATTAGCCTTTTACAGCATATAACCAAATAAAACACATCTAGAACATGTAAATGGAATAAAACATAAACCATAAAAGAGCTCTAAAAAAATACAGATCACCTTTGATACTCTTAAGATAAGAAAAGTCTTTTTAAGAATAAAAGCAAAAGCAGATATCATAAAGGAAAAGAACAGTTTGGCTACATAAAAATATTAAATTTTTTATAAATTTAAAAATACATACACAGACACATACACACACAAAATGATCACATTTATGTTAAAAAACAACAACAAAAAAAACACGTGCACAGGGAAAGCCTTGAAAGACACACTATTTTTCTTTTTGGCTCTACGTACCAACCTTTTCTTTTTTCACAATGAATATGAATTACTTTCGAAATAAATAATTTCTGTAAAAAACAGAAGGAAAAACAGAAGCACCTAATCTGAGCATATTACCTTGCTTTCCCCCACAACAGTAGGTGCATGAATTCATCTTGCACTGATGTGGTTGTGTTCTTTTCCTAGACAAAATGAAAAAAATTATGATATATATTTTTTAAATTATAAACCTATTTATTAAAAATCATAGGAACATGACTCCCTTTTTGAGCCTCAGCCTTCCTTCAAATCTATATTTGGAGTGATCACCTGGACATGAGCCTGCAAGACAGCCAGCCCGCTATTCCAACAGCTGCCTTTACTCCCCTAGCCCCACTTCACAATCCTGTCCCCACCTCCGTTGTACCAATGGGAAGAGAGCCCTTTTCGCAAATCGGAGAAAACAGTATGAGGTTCGACCAAGCCATTTAAAAGAAATCATCATTGTAGCCTTTTACAAAGACTGATTTTTCTCATGTATCTCATAAAGTAAATACATTTTACATTCTTTAACTCTCTCCATGCAGAACTTCAGTTATATTACCTGCACAAACTTGGTGAGACGAGAATCCATCTGCATCAGTATTTCTTCCCATGCTTCACACATACATGTTAGTGACAAATTAATATACTATTAGCAAAAAGAAAAAAAATTAAAATAGTGAAAAATATTTAAACCTACTTGCTGACTAAGTAACATGTGCTTATGATCAATTATCTCAAAGAAATCTAGAATTTACTTTCTAATCACTCTTTTAACTCAAAGCTGAGAAAAAGACTATACCTAATATTTGGTGATTACTTAAACATTCCATAATTCTTAGAACTTTACAAAGATATATCCTATGTATACTAACCGTCAAATTGCTGTTTTAGTCAGCTATTCAATATTCAAACAGGATCCTTAAAAAGATACTGATCTCTAGAAACCTTGACATCAAGTTAATTAATGACTGTGGTAGAATAACAAACATGGCCACAATTCTTTGTAGCACCTCGATGCAGAGGTGGAGTCTCGCTTTGACTAACAGAACACAGCACAAAAAACACTGTGGAGTCCAGGGCCTCAAAAGTCTTTGCCTGCTTCCACCTGAACTTTTTTTTTTTTTTTGAGACAGGGTCTCACTCTGCTGCTAGGGCTACAGTGCAGTGTTGTCATTATAGCTCACAGCAACCTCAAACTTCTGGGCTCAAGCAATCCTCTTGCCTCAGCCTCCTGAGTAGCTGGGACTACAGGTACACACCACCATGCCTGGCTAACTTTTCTATTTTTTGTAATGACAGGGTCTCACTATGTTGCTCAGGCTGGTCTTGAACTCATGGCCTCAAGTGATCCTTCCCCACTTGGCCTCTCAAAGTGCTGGGATTACAGGTGTGAGCCACTGCACCTGGCCTACTTGTACTCTTGATGCCCCTACCCGACCAGCATGTGGACAAGCCTGGGCTGATGTGCTGGAGGATGAGGGATGTGGAGCAGAGACAAAGCCATTACAGCCAAGGGACACACGTCAGCTGGCATCACCAAGTCTAGTCAAGACCAGCTAAACCTGCCCAGATCACCAGAACCTCCTGGCTGAGCTCAGCCCAAATCACCAAATTGGGAGCTGATTTGGGGTGGGTTTGTTATGAAAAACTAACTCATATGAAGACTTTTTTCCATAATACTTTATTTTCAATAAATATAAATGGTATTTTACCTATGAGAATATTAAAATTTTAAAACTGTTTTTTTCTTTTCTTTTGGCAGTGGTAAACAGGATGAGGTGGGAATAGATTCTCAATTTTCTTTTCTTTTCTTGCTTTAATGGACATTATAAGATTATCTATAAGTAGACTAGACACCTATACTGCAGATGGTTTTATAAAATAAAATCTTCAAATTTGTTACGTATGGAACTTCAGAAGATGATAGTAAATATTCACCAAAACAAGCTATAAATAAATACCTGTAAAAGAGCTGAAATGTGAGTAAATTTTCTGGCCATCCGAGTTACTTCAGGTAAGAAAGAATACAATAGATTGGTTTCAAGCTATAAAATTAAATGAATAAAGTGAGTCATAATCAGATACACCTGCTTCTTTTAAAGATAAATCAGTCCTGTTCAGCTCAAAAAAAAAAATCCTCTAATTCAAAAGAGTCTAGGTCTAACTATGTATGAGAAAGACTATGTCGAAATTCTGCTCCCTTTGAGTGTAACAGTCTGGGGACTAATCGCACACAACCTTAGGATTTCCTAACCTGTGCAGAACTATGCACAGATCACTCTCTCCGAGTCATCGATCTCTTCTATGTAGCTAGAATAAATGTAATAACCTATTTTTTAACACTATTATAAGGAAATTAAAAAATGATCACAAATATATGTAAAAAGTTGAAGTAAAGAAATTAAAGGCTATTAATAAACATAAAGAAAATATCTATTGATGGCATGTGAGTTGTATAGTATCTCAATAAAGTTGTCATCAAAAAATATCTATTACAAATTTCACAGTGGTAGTGAATCATTTTATCATAGCCCAAATACAATCCTGGTAATCATAGTTTCAGAGAACCTTAAGATGAAGAGCAAATATGAACAACCACTATTACAGTGAATCGTTAAGTTGCGAGTTCTCTAACACTCTGAATACAAGAGAAAGTTCTCTGATGCCCTGAATACAACAGAGAATATTGGAAGGCAACACACGTGTCACACCCTGCATCTTTTTTCCTCTACTTTTGTTTGAGAGTTCACGTGTACTTAGGTTAACTGGCTGAGATATTCAAGATGAAAATTTTGGGAAAATTTCTTGGCAAGCCAAGGAGACAATCTAAACATTCTATGGGAGCCCAAACAGTTTCCTCAGTTTATAATGCAAACAGCACACAAATTTTTAAAAAAGGTTTTTCCCCATATTAAGTCATCATTTTACACATGATGCAATGTGGTAGTTCAGAGCACAGACCCTGGAGCCAGACTGCCTACCATCACTTTCCAATTCTCTGACATCAAGAAAATTCCAGAGTATCTCTGTGTGCCCAGGTACCTATCTACAAAATGGGGATAACAACTGTATCTACCTATCAGATGCTGTGAGGATTCAAATGAATTATTTTGAAGCACTCAGTACTTGCCATAAATTAACTGATCAATAAACATTAGCCTTTATTATTATCAGGGACAGAGTCCTAAGAAAACAGTACAAAGTTGAACTGGTATAGCAACTAATTAATATGGTCATTAATAGGCCATCAAAACACTGTTTTTGTAAAAACTATACTGGAGCACGGGAAAAATATGGTATTCACTATAATATCATTCAATATATAGGATTTAGAAACTCCAAGTAGATTTTTTGTTTTGTTTTAATGATCATTAGAATACAGTGAGATACGGATAACAAAAACCTATAAAACCTATTAAATATATATTTACTTTCTACTGCTACCAAGTTCTAATACTCACCTGAAAGTATGAAACTTCTGAAGCACCACTGCTAGAAACCTCTGTGACCACTGATAATGATTTCAAATCACTTGATAAACATAATGCCAGACAAGTACCAGCAATCTGTAAAATAGTCAAATCCCTCAGCATATTTAGTATTATTGTTGGGTTGTATCTGCTGATAATACAGAAAGCAAAACTTCACAAAGACCTTTAAAAAGTAGAAACACACTCTTGGCTCCGGCCACACATATATAGCAGATGAAGGTAGGTGTCTGCCTGCAGGGGCCTTTCTTGTCACAAAGACACAAAAGCACCCTGGTTTCCTACCTCCTTCCCATCAAAGGTCTCAAATCAAGTGTTGGAAAACCAATATATTCCAAAGAGCCTACAATATTTTCTACCCCTTTTGGAAAAGGTAAGAGTCAGATGAAAAAGCTATGGAGAAGACCAAGACTTAGCCACTGTAGTAGATTCAGTACTGAGCTTAACATTGCTTCTGATGACTTCCGGTACATTCCAATAAAAAATTGTAGCTCTTTTCCATCACAGGCTAGAAAAATACTAAATCGTAATTAAGTGTAACATACTAATCTTTTTGTTAAAGAAAAAAATGACTAATTCCACCAACAGCCCCCAATTTTACAGCTATATCACTACTATTTTATCTTAGAAAGTTATACTCTAAACATTTAAGAATAATTCCAAAAACTGAAACTGAAAAAAAAGAAACTAGTGTTTTATTGTTTTTCCATAAATGAATTAGCTACCATATTCTAAGAGGAATGATAGAGAAAATTTTAAAGAAAAACTTACTCCTGTGACTCGAGCGATTTTGAACATTCCATAAGCATAAAGTTCAATAAATCCAGAGCTTCCTCCAAGGACAAGAATATTAAGCCTAATTAAAAATAATACAACAAGTTGAGGATCAATCAACAATAGAGATGATTGCATTCTTAAACCAAGATATAAATTATTACTGTTTTCATATAATCTACATGCTAAAGCTCCCCTACAGAGGGAACTGAAACATCAAACAAATCCACTAATGCTCAACTGCTCAATATTCAATCATTTCGAATTTATTCCTTTTTTTCTCCCACAAAAGAACATCATAATTTTCCCATAGCCTAAAAAAAAAATCAGTTTATAGCAAAATAAGATTTTAATAAAAATTATATTTATACACTCAATAACAAAACAATCTTTGTACCAGCTAATACAAAGTGCCATCAGTTTTATCATAGCTATGACGCTAAATATGTTAAAATGGGCTTAAAGAACTTGTCTATTTAAATTTCACAAACTCTAGTACCTATATCCTTCCCCTTATCAAAATAAACATAGTTACATTATATTATTACAACCTGACAAAATGAAAGACCAGGCCGGGCACGGTGGCTCACACCTGTAATCCTAGCACTCTGGGAGGCCGAGGCGGGCGGATCGTTCTGAGCTCAGGAGTTCGAGACCAGCCTGAGCAAGAGCGAGAC